ACACACACACCACAAACACCACACACACACCTCACACACACACCACACACACCACACACACACACCACACACACACACACACACACCACGACTCTCAAAGGGCTCATTTCGGGTGTTTTATTTGCCAGGGTTTGGATCCGAACCGCCTTCCACAGGAACTTCAGCATCGTGTGTGTGTACATAGTGTGTCTGTGTGTGTGTATATAGTGTGTGTGTACATAGTCTGTGTACATAGTGTGTGTGTGTGTGTACATAGTGTGTATATAGTGTGTGTGTACATAGTGTGTCTGTGTGTGTACATAGTGTGTCTGTGTGTGTGTACATAGTGTGTCTGTGTGTGTGTACATAGTGTGTGTGTGTGTACACAGTGTGTGTGTACATAGTGTGTACATAGTGTGTGTACATAGTGTGTGTGTGTACATAGTCTGTGTACATAGTGTGTGTGTGTGTACATAGTGTGTATATAGTGTGTGTGTACATAGTGTGTGTGTGTGTGTACATAGTGTGTGTGTGTACATAGTGTGTGTGTGTACATAGTGTGTATATAGTGTGTGTGTACATAGTGTGTCTGTGTGTGTGTACATAGTGTGTGTGTGTGTTCATAGTGTGTGTGTACATAGTGTGTGTGTGTTCATAGTGTGTCTGTGTGTGTACATAGTGTGTGTACATAGTGTGTGTGTGTACATAGTGTGTGTACATAGTGTCTGTGTGTGTACATAGTGTGTCTGTGTGTGTACATAGTGTGTGTGTGTTCATAGTGTGTCTGTGTGTGTACATAGTGTGTGTGTACATAATGTGTCTGTGTGTGTACACAGTGTGTGTGTGTGTACATAGTGTGTGTGTACATAGTGTGTACATAGTGTGTGTACATAGTGTGTGTGTGTGTGTACATAGTGTGTCTGTGTGTGTGTACACAGTGTGTGTGTGTGTACATAGTGTGTATGTACATAGTGTGTGTGTGTACATAGTGTGTGTGTGTGTTTGTACATAGTGTGTGTGTGTACATAGTGTGTCTGTGTGTGTGTACACAGTGTGTGTGTGTATATAGTGTGTGTGTACATAGTGTGTGTGCGTACATAGTGTGTGTGTGTGTACATAGTGTGTGTGTGTGTACATAGTGTGTACATAGTGTGTGTGTACATAGTGTGTGTGTGTGTACATAGTGTGTCTGTGTGTGTGTACATAGTGTGTGTGTGTGTGTACAGTGTGTACATAGTGTGTGTACATAGTGTGTGTACATAGTGTCTGTGTGTGTACAGTGTGTACATAGTGTGTGTGTACATAGTGTGTCTGTGTGTGTGTACATAGTGTGTGTGTGTGTACGTAGTGTGTGTGTGTGTACATAGTGTGTGTACATAGTGTCTGTGTGTGTACATAGTGTGTGTACATAGTGTCTGTGTGTGTGTACATAGTGTGTGTGTACATAGTGTGTGTACATAGTGTGTGTGTGTGTACATAGTGTGTGTGTACATAGTGTGTGTACATAGTGTGTGTGTGGTGTGTACATAGTGTGTGTGTGTGTGTCTGTGTGTGTGTTTACACAGTGTGTGTGTCGTGTGTGTGTGTCTGTGTGTTAACATAGTGTGTCTGTGTGTGTGTCTGTGTGTTTACATAGTGTGTGTGTACATAGTATGTGTAAATAGTGTGTGTGTGTGGTGTGTACATAGTGTCTGTGTGTGTCTGTGTGTGTGTTTACACAGTGTGTGTGTGTGTCTGTGTGTGTCTGTGTGTTTACATAGTGTGTGTGTGTCTGTGTGTGTGGTGTGTACACACACACAGACACACTATGTACACACACTATGTACACCCCACACACACACAAACACACACAGACACACACACAGACATACACACAACAACAACCGCCATTCGCCACTAAGTGGCGGTGACGTCACCACGACGCTTGTGCCAGGCTATGTGCACCCTGAGGCCACGTGAAGTGTCGAACGCCCGCTGGCAGGAGGTCACGGGGCAGACCCAGCAGGTGCCACGGGTCGACTGACTGAGATGACTGGCTGATGCACCACCTGTGCCCCCTACTGTGCCAACCTGCTGTGCTTTAGCCACCCGGCGCTCCGCTCGTTGTTGTGAGCGTCGCTCCTCCGCCCTCCGTTGTTGTTGGAGGGCGACTGCCTCCAACTGCCCAATAGAGCATCCTTCCAATCCTGCGGAACCCGTCCAGTGGTCCAGACTGTTGTTATGATGTCATATAGGACAGTCTGTGCACAATATCCGCCCTCCCTCAGCATTTCGCTTGGGAGATCATCTCTGCCCGGTGCTTTTCCTGGTCTCAGACTCCGGATCGCCTTCAATACTTCCTCAACAGATGGCACCTCAGCCAGCCACTCACAGGGGGTGACTTCTTCCAATATTTGAGGCACCGCAGCCTCAGCAGGGTCATCCTCACTTTGTGCCACGATGTTTTCCTGGCTGAGGGATTTCCCCTCCCCCAGGACCTCACAGAAATGCTCAGCAAATCTGCAAACCTGTTCCTGGGGGTCGGAGATTGGGTCACCGTTTTTTCCCCTAATGATGGTAATAGGTGTGGCACTGCAGGTTACTTTTTGATGGATTTAAATATGGATTTGTGATCGCGGGCCACTGAGGCAGACTCCATCTCCTCAGCAACCCGCGACCACCACCCATCCTTGCAGCGCCTCACGGCTCTCCGAACCTCCGAGCGAAGGCTGCGGTAAGCCTCCTCATTCTCTGACGTGGGATTCTGTAGCCGATGACAGTGGGCCTGTCGCTTTTTCTCAACCATCCTGAACACCTCCTCTGTCAGCCAGGGTCTCTGGGGAGGTCTGGACCGCGTACCTAAAGCAGCCATTGCAGCTGCATGAGTCACAGTCCTAAACCTCGCCCATTTACCCTCGACATCAGGAGGAGTGGGGGACGATGCCAATCCCAGCCGCAAGCGATGATGAAATTCTCGCTTGCAACTTTCATCAGCGAGCTGAGACCAGGCCACTTTAGGTTGGAATGGGGTCCTGGGTGTACATCCACCACCGGAGTGGAAGAATGGCAGGCGCATCTTACAGATGAATAGTCGATGATCAGAGGGCAGATCAGCTCCACGGTAGGTCCTGGTGTCAAGGACATGGGCTCGCATCCGCTGGTCCGTCACTATGTAGTCCAGCAAATGTACTTGCTTGGACCCGGCATGCATCCATGATGTTGTGTGGATGCGCCGATGCCGGAACAGCGTGTTGGTAATTACAAGCCCATGGGCTGCACAAAAATCTAGCAGCCTCCTACCGTTGTTATTGAGCTGATCTGGCCCATGCCTTCCAATCACTCCAGACCAGGTGCCAGCATCATGACCAACTCGGGCATTGAAGTCACCCAACATGATGACTCTATCCCGAGGGGCCACTTTAGCCAGCACCTGTGACAAGAGGTCATAGAAGGCCTCTGACTCATCGGCCTTGCCTGCATCCCTCCACGGATGTTCGTCTTCGGTGGGGGCATAAGTAACCACGACCACCACTCCTCGCCTGTGATTGATGGGAAGGCGAGCCCAAAGTAGCCTGGGGCTTACAGCTTCCCACACCTCACCGCCACGCTCCTACGCCCCCTTCATTCTTTTGTTCTGAAGAAGAGCCACACCCTGTTGTTTGACAGTCTGCTGCCCCGAGTAGAGGACTGTCCACCCCTCATGGTGGCAGGAGCCAGAGCCGGTCCACCGGACCTCCTGAATGCCGCAGAGATCCAGGCGGTACCGTTCCAGCTCCCGACAGAGGAGTGGCAGCCTCTCCTCCGCAGTGAGCGTTCGAACATTCCACGTGGCCACACGAAGTGGATTTTCGTTGTTTCTGGAGGAGCCCCGAGGGTAGAGATTCAATCTCCTGGCTCCACCATCTCCACCACCACCATCACCACCACCATCACCACCATCACCACCACCATCACCACCAGCATCACATCGTTAAAACCACCCCCCGTAAGAAATAATATTTGTAATGATGATGATCAATAATTTATTATCTTATTTTAGCTGTGCGGAGTAAATTGTACGTGTGTGTGTGTGTATATGAGATTAAATATTAACGTTAATATGGTTACATTATAATTGGGCTATTGGGATCGTCAGTGATGTTGATGGGGCTCTCACCCAGTCACTCACCCAGTCACTCAATCAGTCACTCACTCACTCACTCACCAAGTCACTCACCCAGTCACTCACCAACCCACTCACTCACTCACTCACCCAGTTACTCACCCAGTTACTCACCCAGTCACCCACTCAGTCACTCAATCAGTCACTCACTCACTCACTCAACAAGTCTCTCAACCAGTTACTCAGTCACTCACTCACCCAGTCACACACCCAGTCACTCCCCCAGCCAGTCACCCAGTCACTCACTCAGTCAGTCACTCACTCACTCACTCACCCAGTCACTCCCCCAGTCACTCACCCAGTCACTCCCCCAGCTAGTCACCCAGTCACTCACTCAGTCACTCACTCACTCACTCACCCAGTCACTCCCCCTGTCACTCACCCACTCACTCACTCACTCACTCACCAAGTCACTCACCCAGCTAGTCACCCAGTCACTCACCCAGTCACTCACTCAGTCATTCACCCAGTCACCCATTCACTCATACAGTCACTCAACCAGTCACTCACCCAGCCACCCACTCAGTCACCCACCCACTCACGTACGCATCCACTCACCACCACCATCACCACCATGACCACCACCACCATCACCACCACCACCACCACGACCACCACGACCACGACCATCACCACCACCACCATCACCACCATCACCATCACCACCACCACCATCACCACCATCACCAACATCATCACCACCATCACCACCAACATCATCACCATCACCACCATCATCATCACCACCATCACCACCATCACCACCATCATCATCACCACCATCACCAACATCATCATCACCACCATCATCACCACCACCACGACCACCACCACCACCACCACGACCACCACCACCACCACCACCACGACCACCACCACCACCATCACCACCACCACCACCATCACCACCACCACCATCACCACAGTGAGGCGTCTACTCCGTATCTCTCCTCCCGGCACTCTGAGAATTCTAGGTGAACTTCGGAATCCGAGTCAGAGAAATCCGTTGGTGATCCACCCACTCCGATTCGTCCTTTAGCTCCACCACCACCAACTCCACCACCACCAACACCACCATCACCACCACCATCACCATCACCAATTCCGCGGCCTCCTTCGAAGGCTTCGTTGTCCGACGTTTGGAACTCGTCCGCTGGCTCCTCCGGAGCCTTGACGGGACTCACGTACGACATCATGTGGAGTAGCGTGTAGATCCTGTAGATAGACACACAGACACAGACACACAGACACAGACAGACACACACAGAGAGACACACACACAGACACACACACAGACACACAGACACAGAGAGACACAGACACACACAGAGACACGTCATCATGTGGAGTAGCGTGTAGATCCTGTAGATAGACACACACACAGACAGAGACACACAGACACAGAGAGACACACAGAGACACACACACACATACACACACAGACACAGACACACACACAGAGAGACACAGACACACACACACAGACACACACACACAGACAGACACACAGAGGCATCATGTGGAGTAGCGTGTAGATCCTGTAGATAGACACACACACACACGCAGACACAGAGAGACACAGAGAGACACAGACACAGAGAGACACACAGAGACACACACACATACACACACACAGACACACAGACACACACACACAGAGAGACACAGACACACACACAGACACAGAGAGACACAGAGAGACACAGACACACACACAGAGACATCATGTGGAGTAGCGTGTAGATCCTGTAGAGAGACACAGCCAGAGACACACACACACACACAGACACAGAGACACGTCATCATGTGGAGTAGCGTGTAGATCCTGTAGATAGACACACACACAGAGACACACAGACACACAGACACACACACACACATACACACACACAGACACACAGACACACAGAGACACAGACACACAGAGACATCATGTTGAGTAGCGTGTAGATCCTGTAGATAGACACACAGACAGACACACACAGTCACAGAGACACAGACACACACAGACACACACAGACACACACACACATACAGACACACACACACACAGCCACAGACACACACACACAGACACACACACACAGAGACATCATGTGGAGTAGCGTGTAGATCCTGTAGATAGACACACACATAGACACACACAGACACACAGAGACACAGACACACACAGACACAGACACACAGACACAGAGAGACACACACATAGAGACACACAGACACACACATAGACATCATGTGGAGTAGCGTGTAGATCCTGTAGATAGACACACACATAGACATCATTGTGAGTAGCGTGTAGATCCTGTACATAGACACAGACACACACACACAGAGAGACACAGAGACATCATGTGGAGTAGCGTGTAGATCCTGTAGATAGACACACACACAGACACACACAGAGACACACACAGAGAGACACACAGAGACACACACACGACATCACGTGGAGTAGCGTGTAGATCCTGTACACACACATACACACAGAGAGAGACACACACACACAGACACACACAGACACACACACAGACACACACACACAGAGACACAGAGAGAGAGATAAACACAGTACATAATGTGATGATGATGGTGGTGTTGACTCTCAACATCATCAGCATCATCACCATCACCACCACCATCATCACAATCAACACCACCATCATCATCACCACCACCTTCATCAACCTGATCATCACCACCATCACCACCATCACCATCACCACCATCACCACCACCACCATCACCACCACCACCATCACCACCATCACCACCATCACCACCACCATCACCACCACCATCACCACCACCACCATCACCACCATCACCACCATCATCACCACAACCACCACCACCATCACCACCACCACCACCCCCACCACCACCACCACCATCACCACCACCACCACCATCATCACCACCACCATCACCCCCCCCACCACCACCACCACCATCACCCCCCCCACCACCACCACCATCACCACCACCACCACCATCACCACCACCACCATCACCACCATCACCACCACCATCACCACCATCACCATCACCACCATCACCACCACCATCACCACCATCACCATCACCACCATCACCACCACCATCACTACTGCTAACATCATCACCACCACCACCATCACCACCACCACCATCACCACCATCACTCCCACCACCATCACCACCACCCTCACCACCATCACCACCACCACCATCACCACCACCACCACCATCACCACCACCACCACCACCCTCACTCCCACCACCACCACCATCACCACCACCATCACCACCACCACCACCACCCTCACTCCCACCACCACCACCATCACAACCTCCACCACCACCACCACCCTCACCACCACCCTCACTCCCACCATCACCATCACTCCCACCATCACAACCTCCACCACCACCACCACCCTCACCACCACCATCACCACCCTCACTCCCACCATCACCATCACTCCCACCATCACAACCTCCACCACCACCACCACCCTCACTCCCACCACCACCATCACCACCACCATCACCTGTGGTAGATCATGGCGATGAACTGAATGAGCAGCATCGTGGCGAAGGTGACGAGGAACATGAAGGAGAGTGGAGGGACGGAGAGTCTGACGACTTCCGATGCAGAGCCTCCGAGCTTCGGGAAGCTGATGAAGAGTTGAGTGCCCACGAGCTGGAGGGCGATGGTTGCCACCAACCACACGGCATTGATCATGAAGTAGATGAAGGTCACCTGGGTGAGAGGATGCACTGCATTGTACACTACACTACTACACTACATTATAGACTACATTATACACTACATTATAGACTACTACACTACATTATACACTACTACACTACATTATACACTACATTATACACTACATTATACACTACATTATACACTACTACACTACATTATACACTACATTATACACTACATTATACACTGCATTGTACACTACACTACTACACTACATTATAGACTACATTATAAACTACATTATACACTACTACACTACATTATACACTACTACACTACATTATACACTACATTATACACTACATTATACACTACATTATACACTACATTATACACTACTACACTACATTATACACTACATTATACACTACTACACTATACACTACATTATAGACTACACTATACACTACATTATACACTACTACACTACATTGTAGACTACATTATACACTACATTATACACTACTACACTACATTATAGACTACATTATACACTACATTATACACTACATTATAGACTACATTATAAACTACATTATACACTACTACACTACATTATAGACTACATTATACACTACATTATACACTACATTATAGACTACATTATAGACTACATTATAAACTACATCATACACTACATTATAGACTACATTCTAAACTACATTGTACACTACTACACTAAATTATACACTACATTATAGACTACATTGTACACTACTACACTACATTATACACTACACTATACACTACATTAGAGACTACATTATACACTACATTATACACTACATTATAGACTACACTACACACTACATTATACACTACATTATACACTGCATTATACACTACATTATATACTACATTATACACTACATTATACACTACATTATACACTACATTATACACTACATTATACACTACTACACTACATTATACACTACACTATACACTGCATTATACACTACACTATACACTACATTATAGACTACATTATACACTACATTATACACTACTACACTATATTATAGACTACATTATACACTACATTATACACTACATTATAGACTACATTATACACTACTACACTACATTATACACTACATTACACACTACTACACTACATTATAGACTACATTATACACTACGTTATACACTACATTATAGACTACATTATACACTACTACACTACATTATACACTACATTATACACTACTACACTACATTATAGACTACACTATACACTACATTATAGACTACATTATACACTACATTATACACTACATTATACACTTCATTATACACTACATTATAGACTACATTATACACTACATTATACACTACATTATAGACTACATTATACACTACTACACTACATTATAGACTACATTATACACTACTACACTACATTATACACAACATTATACACTACTACACTACATTATACACTACATTATACACTACATTATACACTACATTGTACACTACTACACTACATTATACACTACATTATACACTACATTATACACTACATTATACACTGTATTATACACTACACGATACACTACACTATACACTACTGCACTACACGATACACTACACTATACACTACTACACTACATTATACACCACTACAATACATTATACACTACATTATACACTACATTATAGACAACATTATACACTACTACACTACATTATACACTACGTTATACACTACATTATACACTGCATTATACACTACACGATACACTACACTATACACTACTACACTACATTATACACCACTACACTACATTATACACTACATTATACACTACATTATACACTGCATTATACACTACACGATATACTACACTATACACTACTACACTACATTATACACCACTACAATACATTACACACTACATTATACACTACATTATAGACTACATTATACACTACTACACTACATTATACACTACATTATACACTACATTATACACTACTACACTACATTATACACTACATTATACACTACACTATACACTACATTCTAAACTACACTATACACTACATTATACACTACATTATACACTACACTATACACTACATTATACACTACATTATACACTACATTATACACTACT